TGGCAAATGCCAACCGAGCCTTCTGTATGCGAGCTGACACTTCATCCGTGATGCGTCCGCCAGGTGAGATATAACCCAGATAGCAAAACTTGTCTACTCCCTCTAATACTTCCCCAGCCAGGGTGAGACTGGGTGCTGGACCAACCCAGTCTTGTAGCAACATTTTACAATTTGAAGGTGCAAAACGCATACCGAACATGGTGACACTAGCACTCAAACTATCGAGGAAAGCTTGCAACTTACCTGGATCTTCACTTAGTAGCATAATGTCGTCTGCATACTTTAGATCAGACAGCCTGCCACCTGGAAGTAAATCGATGCTACTATCCTCGCACGAAGACGGGGCTGTTTCAACAATCACATCTATAACAAAGTTAAATAGGAAAGGAGAGAACCTCGCCATGTGTGGTGAACTCGGACGAGAAAGTGCCGCAATCTCGTACTGGATTGCCGCTATTGGTATGAAGAGATCGTAGCACTGAAATAAACTTCTCGAGCACATCCTTAAGGGAAAGGCAGCGCCAGAGTTTGGAGCGGTCGACTGAGTCGATAACCGCCTTCAAATCGAGGAAAACTGAGATGGTGGGTCTACGAAATAATGCCGGTGCTCCAGAATTTGGCGAAGAATGAATATGTGGTCGATACAACCTCGGCCAGGTCTAAAACCAGCCTGGTTCTTACGTAAGCACTCTTCGGCGGACAATCGGCGGAGTATGATGCCAGCGAGAAGTTTAGAGGCAATGTTAATTAAACTAATTCCTCTGTAGTTTTTCACAAGAGGATCTATCACCTTTCTTGTGAATCTTTATGATGAACGATTCACACCATTGCGTTGGGTTCCGTTCGCTCTCCCACACCGAGCCCAGGAGTTTTGTTAACTCCGAAACCAAAGTTGAGCCTCCACCCTTAGAAACCAATGGGGAGAGCCCGTCTGGGCTGGAGGCTTGACACCTTTTGAAATAATTTATTTCTCGCTTAACCTCTACTTCAGATGGAGGACTGATGTCAACTGGGAGTATTTGCCCAGTCGAGGTGTGGGGTGACAGGTCAGTTGTCGATGGGGACCAGTTGAACTGAACCTCGAAATGTTCATCCCAACTGTCAAGACGGTGTTGCTGATCGTGAATCAGTGTGCCATTGGATTCCTTAATTACCTCACCTACGTCTATTTTCCTGGAGGCCCACCGACAGACGCCTTTCGGGTTTTGGCCGGCCGGTTCTTTTGTCTGGTTATCTCCGACCAGCTTTTTTTGACCAGGCAACCGGCATGGACGGCCCTGCACACCATGCAGAAGATAAATCATTGTCGACGAAACAAACGGGGTTACGAGCGAACCTCTTTGTGTCCTGCAGTTTTCCCATTGTACGGTCCCTTCGGCGCACGTGCGACAAACTCAACACTTCTGTAAAATCGCCTCGATAAAGGTTAGCCACGGTAACCGAAACGTCGGTTTATTTTCACCTGTACCGACATCGCTGTGTTTTCAAAATTACAAATTATATATCAACACTTTTCTCTTCATCAAAAACAAAGACTATCCTTATCTATCGTGGACTCAGTACTCGTTTTTTCTCTGTCAATTATGGGAAGCCACTTACCCTCATACATATCTATGTATTGATAAATTGCTCCAATTACCTGTAACAGACTGTCGATTTCTTTGGAATTTTGCCTCATCCACGTTCATTTATTTCGCCTACACACACACACACACACACACACACACACAGAGTATATTTGACTTTTTCGAAAGTTTGCTGCTCCTCACCCAACGTTTCAGGGGGGGAGGGAAGCTGTGTAGTATCACTATTTTTACTTTTTACCACCATTCCTGTGATCCACGTAAAGACCGTATTTTGTTTTGTTGCCCTCTATTACGAGATCACATATGACCTCGAATGTGGCACAATTTCCGGGGTGAGTCGTGTCGTGCGCTTTGCTCTCCGCACACTGATACTGCAGGTCACATAAAACTCTCAACGCTTGTTATCAACTTTGTTCTCAATTCGGTCTCACTTTGGGAAACCGTGCTTAATTGGGGAACGTGTCGACGCTCAGCCCGTCCCAGGTGCTAAACTCAGTTCTTGACTAGTGCAAGTGCTTCGATGTGAACATTGGTCCAATTTGTTGCACAATCGACAGAATTTCTCCATCAAGACATCAACCAAGAGTGAGAAAAACGATCACACCGACGCAAGGCGATAGTTGCATTTGATCGCAGCGGAGAACAGTTGCACACAACCAATGTGAACAACAGTCCAGCCGGATTAGCCCCCTTTTTCCTCCCGCTATCGTTTGGGAAATGACGGCTCAATTTGATCTACAGCTGAGGCCACGTGATATAAAGCCGTTATAGAACACCTAACAAAGCAGAGCATGTATTGGTTTGACCAATAAACCCACATCGCGTCGCCCGTCCGTTTGGCATTGGGTTTATCTCACTGGTGACCAACGATTAACTCAGCATGCGGTGAAAGCTGATCTACTGACGTAGTCTTCTGATGAATTTCCTTTTACCTGCTAAAAGAAGTAAATACCCATCCCGCCTAAAGAGTTAGAAGGGAAGTACAGTCACGTTTTCTATCGTGACCTTGTTATCTTACAACTGATGCATTAGCAAAAAACGTTGAAATCGCGAAATTGTACATTTTAATGGTATGTGGTTAATAGAAGCAATGACATAAGTGGATATTATATTAGATATGTTGCGTCCGATGTGGGGCAATATCATATTCAATCCCGTGAATGCGGCTGGACGAACGGAGCATTTGGAGGAACAAACGTGATGAAAATCAGGATGTTGCACGAGTTTGGTCAATACCTATAAATACTGAACGCCGTGTTGTTGGTCTCCTGAACGTACCGATCCGGATAGCGCAAAATTTCTTGTACTGATAGGGGAAGTTTTTGGTAACTGCCACTTTCAAAATGCATTCGCCGAGGTCATACCTTTCACAGTTTAAGTTAAATATATTTTCTCACTTGAGGTTGGTAGCAGGAAACGGTTCAACCTCATTAGATATTATTTTTCCTAATTTATGCAGTTTCTAGATGAGTGAAGACCAATGTCGAGTTCATTCAATTACCAATAAGCAGTTGGGATTTAAATGTAATCTAAAACTTTTCCCTGATAGAAACAGGAATAAGTAAGCTGCCTCAACAGTGGTCGCCAGTGGTTAGGGTTTCGGCATGCATTAGACGAAACTGGCAAATTCTGTTGGATGATCAAATTGGCGGACTGCATGTAAAAGTGACTGCCTCCAGTGCTCAAAAATGGAGGGTGAATATAATAAGGACCATACGAAAGTACGATACCTGTAAGAAGTTTATGAGTCACTTCAGAAAATAAATTCTGATTCTGTTTTTTACTGTGGCTTTGTTATTTTACAACTGATTCACCAGCACTCATCGCCAAAATCGTACATTTTCTCAGAATTCAACTAACAGAAACAAAGAAATAGGTGGATATTATTACTAATATGTTTTATCTGATGTGAGGGAATAGCATATTCAATCCTCCGTGAATGAGTCTGGGAAAACTAAGGATTGGGAGAAACAAATGTTATGAAAGTGTCAGGGTGTCGCACGGGTTTGGTCGATACCTGTATATACATACATATGTATTGTTAACTATTTTGTCAAATGTGCTTTTCAATGATAGAAATATTTAGGCAATCGCACTTATCTCAAAGGTATGGAGATCATTCGAGGGGACATCTGCCTCAATGAAATTTACCCACTAGGCCACTGAGGGTCTAGACTGAATCTACTCATGCAATAATTCGTTCCAACATTCCTCGGACGAGCAGAGCTGTATGCTACCGAGCGCGTCCCCAGGTCGCGGATTGATATGATATATATATATATATATATATATATATATATCATGTGAGTAATGGAGGATTTGGTTAAATTTCAAATGGTAATTCGCCGTGTGAATTACCATTTGAAATATATATATATTCCAACATTCATTCATGCATGAGCATGTTCGCCGATTCATCGATCTGTTTTGAAGTGATTCGCTTCCTTACTCGGTTAATTACCATCGGGTTTGTTCATTCTTGCCTAAAGCTCGTACGATCAACGGTCAATATCATAACGTACCAGGGTGGGGCGAGGGACGAACAGTCATACCCCACCCCACCGAAACACTTGTCCTCGTTCGATAACTCACCCAAGAGGTACTTTTGTTTGTTTATGGAGAAATCAGTTCACTCTGAAAAGGATGGGGTCTTGAAAGACCCGATACAATCGGCGATCTGTGACGGCAGAAGAACCAATCACTTTGTGGGGTTCCTGGTAGAATACGATCGGTTGAATTCACTTCAAGTTGAAAAGATAGCCATAAAAACCGTTGGTTTCTTGAATGGCAAGAGAAACAACCCCTCTGCTTCAGTTCAGTATCCGTAACTGTTTTTTGTGAGGGCTGGGGACTTGCGTTGCTTTATTGCTGATCGTTTGGCTATCGAACTTACACGATCAGCATCTCCCTAAACACGGGAACCAACAAGCTGATTTTAGCTCGAATGCTACCCTCACAGCTCCATGTACACTATGACCTTAGCTAATGAGGTTTCTCCTCCTGCTGTATTCAATCGTGTGGGATTAACAACTACTCCAACTAAGCGGAAAACATCTTGTGGGAGTAGTTAGTTCAAACGTTTATTCTCCGAGCATTTGATTAGCACAGCGACCCGACAACACCTGACAAGCCGAGCAAAATTATTTACATTTTTCTTTGTATTCAAATACTGCGCATCGCTGATATGATATTAAAAAAATACAAAAATAAGTGTTTCATTAAATGCAAATTTGTTTTATACATTATCAACGAGTCAAGCTGACTCAGCGTCTTTCATTCAACCAACAGAGATTGACCAGAAAGGCACAAACAGTTGTACGCTCTGTTGGTCTCGCGCACACAACGAGAATACGTCGGATTGGGTTCCGGGGACTGCACGGGATCCAAATGTGCCGTGGAAGCTTTGGTGATCCAGTCGGCCGCACGATGCATCAAGTCCATGCGAGTCTTGTCGGAGACGGTTAGGAACTCCCCGATCGGAACAATTCGGTCTCGCATTGTACGATCAATCAGTCCGGATATCAGGTCAGTTAAACACGTGACTTCGGCCATGAGAGCATCAACCACCGGCTGTAATCGCTCTATTTTTGACCGCGCTTGAGTAACACCGGGGACAGTTTGGATAGCAAGGGTATTGCATGAGGTTTTCCGATCGTTTCCCATGTCCTCATTCGAAACTTCATCAAACGAGATACGATCTAGGCATTTTGTGAGCACTCGTGGTAAAAGATCTAACTGTTTCTTCTGGCTATGAGGAGAATCACGAAAAAAAACGACGAATGAAATCGATTGAGACACAAATCGACTGTACTCGATCAAGGAAATAATACATACTTATCCTCATTCATAAACTCAAAACATTTGTTTCCCCAAAAAAATTCGGACAAACTGTAAAAGATTGCCCGATGAAATCACTTTGCTGGATCTCAATTCTGTGAATTAGTCATTTATCCTCTACGAATTTCAACCGTCAAGAACCCCGGAAATGCATCGTGCGACCGCAGAAAGGTGTTGTTTGATCACGTATGCTTTGGATGCAGACAGACAGTTCAACACACTGCAGAGTTATTGCCACCTGTGGTCTGTTTATTCCTTATGCATGCTGGTATATATTAGTTGCTAACACTAAATTGTTCTACCCCCCCCCCCCGCTCATCTTTTACAGCATAAAATTTGATTTGGATATTTATTATCTGGACCCAGTTTCCTTAACTATGTTCACAATAGTTGTCTATGTTGAAACCAACCTCCTGTGATATCTAGTTATCCACAGAAGTCATTTATTACACACCACTGCGTGGTGAGCAGCATGAGCGAGGATCTACTGTTCGCCCATGATAACCAGCCAGCAAAGTCCTACCTAGAAATTGCAGGCCCCATAGAGTGACGAGTGAGTTATGGAGCTGGACGACAGCAAAGCCGCCTACCACTAAAGTTGGATGTGAGTGAAAGGGTTCAAACCTCAGCAAGAACGGGATTGCAGAACTCATAGCTCATCTCAACATATGATAATGCTAACATCTAAAATGCTGCCTGTATTAGCGGTGGTAGAGATTGCTAAGTTATCACTTTGGAGGACGTCAGTTCGATTCCGAACACCACTACCACCCGACTTTCCTCACTATCTGGAAACTTGTGATAAATTCACTCTCAATTTCGGGAATAAAGACGAAACAGGAACTACAGAGATTTGCATTTGTAAGCTGTCCTTTGGCTGGCGCACTAGACATAACTAGACGTGCAAACATACGGATGAGTTAGTTGACTGATAAACGGTGAGCGAAAATGGCATAATTATATCCACTGCCGAAACGGAAAGTTCCTGGGAAAGGTGAACTTATTCATGCTTGAACCATCGAGAATCCAGATTGGGCTCTTAAACACACTCCTCACTTAATACGCCAATGAGAGAAAACTTACCCAGATCGCGCTTCAAGAACCACCACTCCATTACAACTACTGAGATCTGTCGATCGCAAACATATTGCCGTTCCGGCCAACGGCCCAATACAGATCCCTAGCCAGATAGGACACACTGTTCCAGTTCCAGATACACCAAATCGGGATTCGAAAACTGAGTGCAAAATGTGTAGCACTGCCGTGGGACTCAATTGGTCCGGGATGTGAACGTGCCAGGCTTTCTGGTACGGAAAAACCGAGGGTAGAAGTGATATCATGTGTGAGGACAAGCAACTTGGTCGAGAGCATTTGGTCAACTGGGTCATCAGGTCGGAAAATTTGAGGCTGAGCGACGGAGCTATGATAAAAGAATACAGTTCTGACGCACATGACAAATTCACTTGGACCTCCAATTGCAGGTTCGCGTGATCTAAAGTTTCACGAATTAAATCCGTTGTGATCAGTGTGGAGAGGAGAATAGGACTCGGCGGGTGGGTGTTACCGGTGGCCGGAAGCACTGCGTTGCACACGGAAGAGAGGCAACAAACTGAGCGATCTACTGAGGTGAAACGAGGTTCCAGTGCAAGCTGAACAGTTTGTGATTGATTTGGCGTAGCACTATTCGAGCCAGGCAAAGACGCAGTGGCAAAAAGCTTCACGAACAAACACCACATGAATTGCGAACCGACAGTTTGCTCGTTCGAAACAGGAACCGGTTCTAGAAACGGCATTTCGGCCAGTTCAAGCGTATAATAAACAGACTCATCAGAACAGTCTGGGATGAGTTCGGTGAACGAATACGGTAAATCTGACGAAACGAAATTCAGATGTGTCGCAACACGTACATCCAGTAAAGCAGACGGTCCGTCAATCGAGCCCAACTCTGAACTCACAGAGAAAACCGGAGAAGAACGCAAATTTTCCGACTGACATGAAGGTTTCACACAAGGCAACAAAACTGGTCGAGTAGAACAGCCGTACAAACACAAACAATGGACAAGGCGCCCAAGATCATGACGCACCGAACGAATAGCATCCGAAAAAGTACCAGAAGACATCTGCCAGAGCAAAAAGCAAAGAAACCGGAAAAACATGTATAGGGATTGAAAAGTTAGACCCTACACACTACAAAAAGACATACACGTCTATTTCGTAAAGAAACACAAATTATGTTCGGAGAAAAACTGCAGCGACCAAGAAAACAAAAACTGAGCAGCGGCAACAACAATAACGAAAACAAAAACACAAACACATTCACAACACACGGACACCAGTGCACACAAACACAATCAACAACATCACACACCTCA